AACGACTCCCACCCGCTTCAAAGTGCCAGTCTGAACTCGGCCTTTAATGTGTAAATTATATGTGATGTCATTTGGGGTATAAGACCTTCTGCCCTTCCTGGCTATGGCAGAATACAGCTTTGGAATGGCTGAAGTGCTAAGGTACTCAGCCCGGTATTCCCTGTTTTAAGTGCATTAAACAGATAGTCATCTAACTCGTTGGACTCCGACTGTGTGTTTCCAATCCGGCAACGGGAGCACGCGGGCACAGAACTGTGCATCAGGCTGACCCTGGTTAGCTTCCAAGATCTGATGGTCCTGGGCTAGTGTGGACCATCTTGGTCAGGAAGAACACTGGAATACTTAATCCATATTGGATACTGAACTGCAGATAACTGCTTAACGCAAGTCTGGTCTGGAAGACTGGGGGAGTCATGTTAAGTGGACAATCCTTCCCCATGCTGGGACTCTAATGCTCTTCCCTGTGTCCTGCTCCTCAGCTCACGCGCTGAGAAAACTATCAGTGTACACAGGGGTCATTTCATAGAAAAAAAGGTTCAGGAGCTCATTAGCATAACACATTAGCATAACTTATTTGCATATGCCACACCCCCTGACATCACCGGAAGTGTGTCAGAAGGCAACACCCACCGCTTAGGCTCCACTGGACTGTTTTGGATTGCTAGCTATTGGGGGGGGGCGTGCAGATCTGCCCTCACGGAGGAGGGAGAGATTGTACCTGAATAAAACTTGGTCTTAAAGGTGCCACTGGACTGTTTGGGTGGGGGGCTCTGCAGCTTACCTGGCTGCTTCTTGCTCTGACTGAGGGCTGCTGGGAGCAGGGGGGGGCTTGTTGCATGTGCCCGCCCCCTGGGCTCTTTACTGCCGGAGCTCTGCTCCTGTGTGCTCCTGCAGGAAATGACCCCTGAGTGTACAACTATCATCAGAGAGTTTTATGTATGTACATAAATCCCCGAGCTTCGTTTGTTCAGCCATCTAAGGCTGGTATTGTAAATAGTACATTCTGATTGGCTACTCTGCACAGTAGGCCAATCAGGACCCTAGAGAGGTTCTGGAGGGAACCGAGTACATTGGTCCTTATGTCGATATTCTGATTGGTTCTTAACTCACCGGTGGGCGTGGTTATACAAGCCCGGATCGTTTCAAAGAGAGCCTGTTGCTCTCATGTTTTGTGTTCATTCCTGTCTTGTTCTAATCAAGCCGAGTCACTTGTTAGTGAGCTGCCTGAAGTCTCCTACGAGAGCATATTCAACAGGTGGAAAACGTGTCCACGAGAATTCGTTTCCAGAGTGGAGCATGCTAAGAAAACCAAGCCTGCTTTCTCGCCAAGACAGCAAAACCCTACCCGGTGAGCCGTGCCTTCTGTCTGCCGAAGGGCAAGTCCCGTCCTGTCCCGCCGATCCCACCAAAGAGGTATTTGTTCACATGGCCAGAAGATGAGATAGCATGATTCACCCACTCGTCGGAGGCCCAAACTTGCCTGTCTTGACCCATTCGCCTGGTGAGGACAAAGGGCGAGATCGTCAAGTGGTTTTATCTGAGACATCTCCCTACGCCTGACAAAGCGGGGAACGTCCGGCAGCTGTCTGCGATGCAGGCTGTCTGGGTTGGATGAAGCCGTCAACAAACACTTCTGCCTAAGAGGGGCCTTGATCAATGCTCCCTCTAAGCTGTGGAGTCTTGTGGGCAAAAACTCTACTTGGTGAGCTACTGGCATTCAAGTTGTGGGCGGACAATTTGGCTACTGCATAAATTACTTTGCTCTGGACGCAATGTTCCCTCTAAGCTGTGGAGTCTTGTGAGCAAAAATTCTACTTTGTGAGCTACTGGCATTAAAGTTCTGAGCGAGCAGTTTGGCCACTGCATTAAATCAGTGTGCTCTGGAGCCACCCTTCCTGAGCTGAGAAAAAAATCTGTGAGCCAGAGGCTAAAAAACTGTGAGCTAGCTCACACTAACTCAGCTTAGAGGGAACACTGCTCTGGAGCCATCCTTCCTGAGCTAAGACAAAAATGTGTGAGCTGGAGGTTAAAAAGCTGTGAACTAGCTCACACTAACTCAGCTTGGAGGGAACACTGGCCCTTGAGACAATGTCATTCTCCCGGTACGAAGGGTACCCAATGGGGTGGGGTGAATGTTTTTTAAAACTTCATGCAATTTAGAACAGAGAGTTATCAGTCCTACTGTATTTTGGGCAGAAGGAAATACAGTTTCAGAGGGTAGGCATGTTGGTCTACAGCAGAAGAACCAGATTCGAGTCCAGCAGCACCTTAGAGATGTTAAGGAAAGAGACTAATATTCTGCTTTGTGAATTTATATTTGCTGCTACACAATCAATGGACTGTGCACACACACACACACACACCTAGGCTCAGAAAGCTGTACAAGTCACCTGTTGTGATGTTACACATAGAAGGTGCCTGCATAAGCCTTACACGTGAATGAGGTTTCAGTTATACAGCTACGAGCCTGGTGAAGGAAGCACACATCTCCATTACGGTCAGCAAAAAACAACAGCTTGAGTAGAAGCAGCCTCCATTGCTGAATTGTTGAATGTCACGCATACCACATCTCTGCTTTATATCTACATTGGCATTTCCTGTCAGAAGGACCTTTGATGACCAGAGGAATGGCCAAGCTTCATCTGCACTTCAAGGGATCATCTTGACGCAGAGTTTTCACACTTGCCCAGATGCCATCCTCTGAGTTAGGTCTTAGGTTACAATATTATCCCACCCTCTAGGTAGCTACCCCTCACTACACGCAACCAATGGGATTGTTTATGGGATGGACTAATAGGTAGGTGGGTCATGAGGTTGGCACAGTTGCCACCCACCCAAAAGACCACCTATAAAAGGTAAAGGTTCCCTTGCTCGAAAGCCAGTCGAGTCAGACTCTAGGGTTGCGGTGCTCATCTCCGTTTCAAAGCCGAAGAGCCAGCGCTGTCCGAAGACGTTTCCGTGGTCATGTGGCCGGCATGACTAAACACCAAGG